TTGAGGGGGGGACATGACTGAGACATATAAAATGATGCAGGGGGTGAGTAAAGTGGATAGAGGAAAGCTGTTTTCCGTCTCACACAATACCGGAACCAGGGGACATCCACTCACATTTCAGTGTTGGGAGAGTGAGAACAGACAAAAGAAAATATTTCAGTCTGTGGAATTCCTTGCCACAGGATGTGGTGATGGCCTAGATGCCTTTAAAAGGAGATTGGACATATTCCTGGAGGAAAAGTCCATCGGAGGTGACAAACCATGATGGGGATGTATAATCTCCAGGCTTAAAAGGAAGGTACCTCCAAATGCCAGATGCAGGCGAGTGGTATCAGGAGACAGGTATCTAGTTGTATCTAGAGGCATCTGGGGGACCACTGTGAGGTAGAATCCAAGGCAGAAGACCTCATACCATCAAGGACAGATGGTGGTCCATTTTTTTTCTTTAAAACCACCCAGTGATGGGGCACCCACAACATCGGGAGGCAAGGTGTTCTACTGCTTCATGGTTCTCACCGTCAGGAAATTCCTCCTTATTTCCAGATTGGATCTCCCTCTGATGTGTTTCCACCCATTGGTTCTTGTCCTACCCTCAGGCGCAATGGAGAATAAATTGATGCCATCTTCCCTGTGGCAACACTTCAGATATTGGAAGAGTGCTATCATGTCTCCCCTCAGTCTTCTCTTCGTTAAGCTAAACAGATCTGCTTCTTTTCATCATTCTTCATAGGATTTAGCCTCCAGTTCCCTTAGCATCTCTGTTGCTCTTCTCTGCACCTCTTCCAGGGCCTCAGTGTCTTTTTTGTGGTGACCAGAACTGGACACTGCACTCCACATGCGGCCTCACCAGCGTGGTATAGAGTGGGACTATCACTTCCCATGATTTTGATGCTATCCCCCTATTGATGCAGCCTAGGACTGTGCTGGCTTTCTTGGCAGCTGCAACACACTGCTGACTCATCCTTAGGTGGTCCACCAGGACCCCTAAAGACCTCTCACAGGTAGTATTGTCAAGCCAGGTACCACCTATCCTGTACCTGTACATCTGGTTTCTCCTGCCTAAGTGCAGGATTTTACTTTTCCCGCCACTGAAGTGCCTCTTATTGGATAGGTACAGGAAGCTGGACTAGATGGGCCCTTGGCCTGATCCACCAGGGCTCTTCTTATGTTCTTATGTCTATCCTGCATGCTAATTAGCTCCATGGCAGGAAGGAATACCACATCTTTTCCACATAATGCATAAAGTTATAAAGAATGTGTTTGGATCACAAGTAATGTTAGTAGAAGTACCAAGAAATCTTTAAGCAGTGGAGTGGGGGCAGCTGACTGGCTAGGGAAGTGATGGCCGAGAGGTATCACAAAGAGAGCATCCTTAGGAGCCATGGAATTTTGCTTGAGTGGGAGAGGAGGGATGGAAAACGGGTTGGAGGATGCCGAATGAAACGGAACATCTTTGAACAGGATATGAATGCTAGCAAAAATAACAAGCAGCATCACTTTACACTGCAGGTTTTGTGGCCCATTTTGATGCTTATGAGGAGCACCACAAATGGCAAGCATTACTGAATTATTTCATGATTTGCACTGTCTCTTATACTTGTGTTAGAGGGAATGTCTGATCTGTTGTTGAGCAAATGTGTAATAAATGACCTCTCTTTGATGAGCATGATTTGTTCTACAAGCCACCAGTTACCAAGGTGGCTAGTGAGCAGGATAGGATCCTCTTCTGATGGTGTGTCATCCTTCCTTCCTCTAGGAAATCACCCCTGGCCAACTAAGCCTGGAGGACCTCCTGGAAATGACAGATGAGCAGGTCTGTGAGACTCTAGAGAAGTTTGGGGCCAACAGGGAGGAGTGTGCCCGGCTGAACGCCTCTCTCTCCTGCCTCAGGAGTGTCCATAAATCAGGTGCGGCTGCATGCTTTCTGTCTTCTTCCCAGATAGTGTTAAGCAAGAATGGTGCAACTCAAGAGTATCCGTAGAAATCCTAGGCCTCTTTCTTAGCTTCAGGCCTTCTCCCCTTTTGGTACTTGTGATATTCCAAGCTACAGATGCTGATCAGGTTTAGTAATTCCACTCATGTTTTAACCCCCATGTGTCTTTATTCCAGTTGCTGAGGTATATAGCTATTGTGCTCATGTTTTGGCTCTGGGCTTCCTGTAGGCAACTTGATCAACTGCTTTGAGAATTTGGCAGATAAAACAGCTGGGAGCAGAGAATATTGGAATGTAAAAGCCTTTGGTGTGGTCAAGCATGACCAGTCTTCTGTGGAGGGAATCGTTCCAGGGAACCCCTTAATATTAAAGACCCCTTCAGCAGTAGGGATGGTCGATTTTAGTGTGTGGGACCAGCTTCAGCCTGCCTCTGCACTAGAGATGCCTTTCTAAAATTTTATCTTAAAACCAAAGTGACTAGAGTTTGTTTTCAGATTGAAAAACATGTAAAAATGTAATTTTCATGAAAGCATATGTACACCCCTTGCTTTATAGAATTGCAGCTCTGGGAGATTTTCAGCTGCAACAATTCTTCCTTCTTTCCTCACTTCCTCCCTCCCTTTAAAGAAAAATCACAATGGGTGTGTGAGGGAAAGACTGAACGGATGAGGTCTGGAAGTGTCCAGGCGTGGTAGAAATAGGCAGAGTTCCCATATGCCACCTAGAGTGGATGAGTAGTCCAGATAGGCGGGGTATAAATAAATAAATAAATAAATAAATAAATAAATAAACAAACAAACAAACAAACAAACAACTCCCTTGGATCAAAGATGTATTCTGTTATTTCTGTGATGTTTTCTTATATAGTAGAAACTATCTCTAAAACTGGTTGAGTTTTTCGGGCTTCTTGGCCGTGTTCTGAAGGTGGTTTTTCCTAACGTTTTAGATCCCGGCCGTGAAAGCCTTCGCAAATACATATCTCTAAAACTGATTTCTGGTATGGAAAAAGGCAAAGACATCTATTTAGGTGCTTCTCAAACCTTTACTAGGGACGTGGTGGCTCTGTGGGCTAAACCGCAGAAGCCTGTGCTGCAGGGTCAGAAGACCAGCAGTCGTAAGATCGAATCCACGCAACAGAGTGAGCTCCCGTCGCTTTGTCCCAGCTCCTTGCTAACCTAGCAGTTTGAAAGCATGTAAATGCGAGTAGATAAATCTCGGTGGGAAGGAAAAACGGCGTTCCCTAGTCACGCTGGCCACGTGACAATGGAAACTCTCTTCAGACAGGTGCTGGCTCTATGTCTTGAAAAGCGGGATGAGCGCCGCCCCCTAGAGTTGGACTACGGCTGGACTAAAAATGTCAAGGGGAACTTTTACTTTTACCTTTACCAAACTTTTACTGTCAACTGATTGGAAGGGATCAAATAAGGAAGCAGAGAGTTCTTGCTGGAGGTCCCAAATAAATGTTTGGCCTCTCTCTTATAACACTTTACAGAATTATAACACAGGATTTTTTTTCCCCTGCCTCTTCCTTGTCCCAATGTATCCCCTTGTCTCCCTCGTTTCCTCTTCAGCTACTAATTGACCATTTTCTGATTGTTAGGATAGAGGGAAAACAACACTGCAGTTGCTTAGCAACCTCAGACAAATTCCACCATGACTCATTATCACAGCATCCTGCTGTTACTGGACACCCACAAGGTTGCCTGGGTTATGGCAGTATCTGTGCTTCTCCCCCCTCTGGTCGAACAGAGCAAAGCACCATAATGTCAGCAATGGGGAGGTAAACATCGTCCAAAAATGTTATCAAAATATAACAGATAACAGAATAATTAATGCTATATAAAAGTATACCAAGATAATAAACAATATAAAAACAACAAAAATGTTTTTTGTCTTGGTATACTTTGATATTATTTACTTATTTTGTTATTCTCTTGTAATAATTCAGTAAAAATAAATAAAAAAACAGAACAAGTAATGCTAATAGTGATTTAGATGTTTATATGCCAACAGGCTTAATATCAAAATGGGACTATTGAAAAACAGGATGGGAGGTACCAGCATGCATGTGGCACATATATTTTGAAAACATATACTCTGTATTTTGAAAATGCATACTCTGTGGTTGGTGGGCATCCTGGCATGTTGAATATCATTTGGAAAAGAATCTGGGCAAGGCGTATGTGTGTGAGGGATGAGTTGGCCTTTTTGATGCCTTAATTGTAGACCCAGTGCACTGTCAATACCATTTTGCATTCCTTAAGTCTCCTCTTCCTTAGCACATACAACCTCACCCCCAAAAAGTGTTTTGTTTGGGTTTTTTGCTGAAAAAGTCACCATATGCCCACTCAATTTTGCAATATTTTGACAAACCCACAACACACATGCTCAAAAACAATCCCAGGGTTTTTTTAAAAAATGTGAACACCAGTAGGATTTGGCTTTAAAAAATTCTTCTCTGGCTCTTAGCTCAGTTGTACACTCAGTGAAGCTAAACACACCTGTGTCGTCCATAAAAAGGGTGTAAAACAAAACTGGGAAAGCAGTATTAAGGCCAGATATCTTCTTTAGAGTAGAGGATGGGGGAAGACTTCACATTTTCTAGAAGAAGTTTTGCAGGAGGCCATGCTGGCCCCATCTCTAGACAAATACCTTTCTCTTCAGGCAAGCTTTCTTTCAGCGACTGGCTGCCTCCGTGCAGTTTTAAAACAGCTTGTTGTGCTTCCCTGCTTTGAATGCATTTTTGGTGTTGCTTTTGTTTACTCTCTTTTAGAGTGGTAGTTGTTTGATCTTTTAAAATATTTGTATACCTACTGATTTTAACTTTTAAATGTTATATTATATTGTAATATACAGTGGTGCCTCGCTTAACGAGCGCACCGTATAACAAAGAATCCATATAGCGATCCCTTTTTGGGGATCACTATACGGAGCTGCCCCAATCGCCGCACTCGCTTTGCGACGATTGGGGCGTCCGGCAGCCATTTTGGAGCCACCGAACAGCTGATTAAAATGGCTGCGGACGACTCGAAATGCCCCCCACAGCGTTTTCGCCTTTCTAAAATTTTATCTTAAAACCAAAGTGACTAGAGTTTGTTTTCAGATTGAAAAACATGTAAAAATGTAATTTTCATGAAAGCATATGTACACCCCTTGCTTTATAGAATTGCAGCTCTGGGAGATTTTCAGCTGCAACAATTCTTCCTTCTTTCCTCACTTCCTCCCTCCCTTTAAAGAAAAATCACAATGGGTGTGTGAGGGAAAGACTGAACGGATGAGGTCTGGAAGTGTCCAGGCGTGGTAGAAATAGGCAGAGTTCCCATATGCCGCCTAGAGTGGGCGAGTAGTCCAGATAGGCAGGGTATAAATCAAACAAACAAATAAATAAATAAATAAATAAATAAATATGGCCCAAGGGTTGCCCACCACTATTTTTGTGTGTTGCCCACCACTATTTTTTAACCTCCCTTGGATCAAAGATGTATTCTGTTCTTTCTGTGATGTTTTCTTATATAGTAGAAACTATCTCTAAAACTGATTTCTGGAATGGAAAAAGGCAAAGACATCTATTTAGGTGCTTCTCAAACCTTTACTAGGGACGTGGTGGCTCTGTGGGCTAAACCGCAGAAGCCTGTGCTGCAGGGTCAGAAGACCAGCAGTCGTAAGATCGAATCCACGCAACAGAGTGAGCTCCCGTCGCTTTGTCCCAGCTCCTTGCTAACCTAGCAGTTTGAAAGCATGTAAATGCGAGTAGATAAGTCTCGGTGGGAAGGAAAAACGGCGTTCCCTAGTCACGCTGGCCATGTGACAATGGAAACTGTCT